AAGGCACTCAGAAATTTAAACAAATCTGCAGCCTTCCAGACCGCTGATTCTGGTTGACAAGTAATTCAACAGTATGAACGAAATGGAATATACTCATACAGAACTGCCACAAATTAACCTTTCGCTTAGGCACAGTCTTCACGGAATAATGATTACCGAAATAGGACACCTTAAGTTACCACAGGCAGCGTAAAGGCAAATTAATGCTTTAAACACTTCCGAACTCTGAGCTACGTTTTGAACATGTGGATGTAAAAGCGGTTAAAAATGCGGTAAAACAAATCCTCTCAAGATTAAACGTCAGCTGTCTACATCCTTCTCCTGACTTATGAAAATAGCATGAAACTCGTACACATTAAACTGAAAACACCGAATTTAATAAACTACGTTGGCGGCTAAACAAAAATCGTACAAACCTAACAGTAATATGTTTCCTGAGTACTACTCCCAGAATTTTTCAAAATTATACGTCTGTAGCACATGTTGATTGGCAGGTTCACCAAAACTGAATTCAGATCTATTATAACATGGTGTGTGAGGTTTGGGTTTGGGCATTTGGGGGGTACACACTATTCGTTGTCAACGCACAGTCCTGTGGCTGCAAGTCTGACTCAATAAAATTGGATGCTTGTCACATGCATTAACAATTTAATTCAACCAACGTATTACATATCTATGAAAAGCTCGCAGAAAGCACTGTACGATATCAAGCGAGGCAAACATCTGGCAATACATTTTCTTAGACTCACGGCTACTCGAGTGCATGCTGACTTAGGAGTTCCAACGGTCAAAGTAATGAAATCATAAAGTAAAATGAAAATCGTAGAAGATCAGTAGTTTGACAGAAGTTGCGTAATGGTGGCTTGATGTAAATGCTTACGGTCCGATCATATTGACTTGAACTCACGTTCACAACAGCTATCGATCGTCACCAAAACTGCTTCGATTGTTCCATCCTTGTTCATTGATTATGTCAGTGTCATTGCACATCAACGGCGCAACCTTGTTATAAAACTATGAAAATGCTGAAATTTCAGCGCAATTTGGACTAGTATAAAACTTTTACACAATGTAACAAGCGCATTAGCAGGATGTTATGCACAACAAACCCGAAGCAGCAGAGATGTCAGAGCAGCTTCCCACGCAGTCTGTTTTACAGATCGCCATAGTCTCGAATGTTTTTTTGGGAATTTGTCCAATATTTTGAATGTGAAAGAATCGTCACGTTCAACATAAGTCTGTGCCTGCACCTTGCCTCCCTCAGGTCAGCATTATTGTACTGCATGGAAGCAGTTGTTCTACTTTAGGATCAAGAAGGAAAGTTGAACTGAAAACAGCTGTTAGCTTCGAATCATAATGAGCGTTGAATAGCAGGGCAACGTAAGTAATGACTCCTTCCTCCGTTATGTCCCCGGAACAAATTGCCATAGCAAATGTATAGATAAAAAAAGAAGGTTGGCAGGTTCAGACAAAGAGCTAAGTACAAATCTATTGCTGCAGTCGAGCTTCTTATGCTGAAACCCAAGCGCAAACCCAGGCGTCAATATGGAAGTCAGTAACCACCATGACGGAACAAAGTTAAGACAGATCGACATTCCGAGAAAAACTATTTCAACTACGATGAGTGACCGTTGCTTTATGGCAAGAATGTTGTAAAGCCGCAAACATAGCGGACATTCCACAAAGCTGGTGGAAACGCTCATCCTTTTTTTGAGTCGTTCCTTCTGACCTGCCAATCTGACATTATTAACTTCTTGAATAAGTACGAACAGAATCCTTTGCTGATCGCGCAACTGTTTACCGCCTTTGAAGATTGTTTGCACTTTTTGTTTGCCTTATTGATTTTTCTGATCCTTTCTCAAACTATAGTTTCGTGCTCCTCTTTTAGCTCTGGTTGACTGCACTAACGAAAGCGGGTACGGAATAGTCTACTTTTGGATACCTTTGAGGTTGCAATAAGATGTTCTAGATAATACCCTTTCTTTGCTGGTTTTTTTTGCGCTCAAAGACCTATGATGTTCTCGGTAGCCTACGACAGAATGTCTTCCCATTGTTTTACCCCAACTTGAATATTCACTAGTTAGAAGTGTTTCTGCCCTTTGCTGACATCGACATTTCCCGACTGGGCATTATGCAGGACATTGGAATAGCTGCGTAACT